CAATGGCATGTTAAGGATTCATCTCCATTATAACTATCCTCCTTCTTTTCTGAAAACCTTCTCTGTTTTAGTTTCTTCTTTTCTCAACTTGTTGTAAATTTTGCAACAATGTGTTAGTGAATCAAGAGTAAATAGTATCGGGGCAGATAATTAACAGTGTAAATCATGTAGAAATGTCTAGAGCTCCGATCTGAATCGGCAGAAATCATTGTCGTATACAATAAAGTGTATTACTAAACATTCTTTGCCCAGTAACTAAAACAAAGCCTTTCCGCAGTTGGTTGAAGCTTTTGCAGTTTTATATTCAAATGCTGTCAAATAAAGGTCTCCTCATAAGGATTCTGCTCTGAATAAAGTTGACAACTCGCTAAATCTTTGTCATGCAAACTTCAAAGTGGCTTTTGGATCAGAAATTGAGGAAGCTGGTTCAAACATTCACGATAATTTTCGTCCTTCAATAGTAACTGCATGACTAAGGACATTGTACATTCAGTAGGCTTCACATTTCTCTTCACCATCTTATGAAGGAGTTCAACAACTTTTGTACCTCATTATTCTTGAGGAAACCAAACATAATCGTAGTAAACGTGAATACATTTGGAACACAACCTTTTTCCTCCATATGTGACAGCAACTCATTTGCCTTTTCTAGTCATCCATTTTTACAAAGCCCATTGATCGAAATCTTTCCACTGCTTCCAAAACACAACCATTCTTGCAAAGTCCATCAATGAATTAGGTATAACACCATTAAATTGCATCTCATCAACTAATTTTCGTGCATGTTTTACCTCAGCTTTAAGAAAAAGGCCAGTTAACAAAGTGTTATACATAATCACATCAGGCTTAATTCGTTCTGAAATCATCTATCGATAAAGGATAAGAGTTTTATTGACTTTTTTGTTCTTGCAATACCAATTGATTAAAGTATTGAAGCAAATAACATGAGGTGTATACCCCTTTCTAGTTGTAGAAGTAAACAACTCCCTTGCGTCACCAATTCTTCCTGCCAAGCAATAACCATTTATTAAAATGTTGTAAGTATAAATGCAAGGATCAATACCTCTTTGAATCCTTAGTTCCAACTACCTATTTGCTTCGTCTAATTTCCCTTTCTGGCAGAGTTCATTTATGACCACATTAAACGTCATCACGGAATGCTGCACACCTTAATTCAGTATCACAATAAATAAACTTTTACCCTTCTCCCAATCACCCACACAACACAAACCATGAATTAGAGTGGTATAAGTGACTGCGTTTGGACTAATTCCTGAACCCTTCATTTCCAAAAGTAATTGTCTAGCCTTCTCATTTAATCCATCCTTACAAAGACCATCAATTATAGTATTATAAGTAACAACATTCGGTCTACAACCAACAGCAACCATTTTCATAAACAACTCCCTTGAATCCATAATCTTTCTCTCTACACACAGACCTTTAATCAAACAATTAAAAGTAACAACATCGGGGCTGAAACACTTCTTCAAAATCCCCCCAAAAACCGTAAAACCATCCGAAACCCTTTTGATATTACAGAAGCAATTTATCAAAATGTTAAAAGACATTAAATCTGGAGACAGCCCAGTTGAATTCAACCTCTTATAAAGCGAAATCACTTTATACTAATGCTTCTTCTTTGCAAGTGCACCAAACAATATGTTGAATGATGACATTGGAGAAATGGGTTGGGAATGAATCATGTAATCAAAAAAGTAAAAAAACTTCACTTAGAGTGAAGTTACCTGATCGACAATTTTCTTTGAGGAATTTAGCAAGTGGGTTATGCTGAGGGGTTTTTTGGGAATAATATAAAAGTTCATTTTGGGTGCTTGAAGTCGTGACATTCTGCAATGGGGCCCTGAAAGCCATGAATTGAAGAGGGTTTATGTGGGTTTTGTTAAGCTTTTTGTAAAGGGTAAGGTGAGGAGTAAGCACAATGCAAAATGCAATCGCCATATGAGTTGAAAGAGAAAAACGTTTTTGATTTCACGAACAACCCTTAATTTTTGTAATATTACCGAAACTTCATTATTTTGAAAATTGTTCATTTATCACCCCCTTCAATTAACTGCATAGAGGTTAAAAATGGAAATTTACATTAAATTTGATTAAAAGATATTATTCTGTTTATGGATTGTTGCTTCAACTTTGTTTTCTTTTTGATAAATTTTATCACACAATCAAATAATATAAATTAAAAATTTTGAAGATTTGTTTTTGGACTTTCTAGAATTTATGTAAATGGTGGTTTATTAACATGTCAAATTTATCAAAACATTATAAAGCTGACTAATATTAAAACAATGTTCTATATAATTTATTTCACTTTTAGTTTTCATATAGCTTAAAATTTTGTAAAATATTTATGTCAAAATTTTAATTTAAAAAATCTTATCTAATGTTTAGAAAACCGGACCGAGCCTTGACTCTATCAAAGGCCTATTCATGGTTTGATCGATCGGTATGTCAGCAACAAAAATATTTTTTAAAAATTATAAATTAGTATTTTAAATGGTAGTATATTATAAAAATGTCTCTAAAAAAAATAATTAGTCCCTAAAAATACAAATTAATGCCTAAAAGTTTGAAATACTAAAAATACCCTTAGAAAATTACATTAACCCTTACAGATTTAAAATGTAAAAAAAACCCCCTATAACTTGAACCGGACCAAAGAGGTTGTCAGTTCCCAGTCCGACCAGCCAGTCCAATTCGATTTTCAGAACATTGATCTTATCCCATTTACTATTATACTGTTACATATTAATACAAAATTTGTGGGACAGACATGTGCACTCAATACTACATGCCAACATTTGTGATGTGCTCGTCTAAGTGATTATAGAAGATCGCACATGAACAAGTCCCATTGAAAAAGCATCATTGAAATATTAAAAAAATAAAAAAATAAATAAGGCTTCAGATTACTCATAACAGATTCACTATTTGGCATCCATGAAATGAAAAGAAGAGCAAAGAAGTCAAAAGCAAGCTCCACTTGCATTCACCATATTCTAATTGAGGTTGTCTATGATATTTTAAAAATTATTTTACTTAACTAAATGGCACTTCTATATAAATCATCACTTGAAACCTTTTGGCAAAAAAAGTTGAAAAATTGACATTTTGTCACTCTTATACAAAACTAGTTTTCTAGCTTGCCCTTAAAGTACCAATAGTTTCACTTCAATATCTCCATTTTTTGAAAGGAAAGCTATATGCATTCTAACAATATTGTTACCTTAGTGAAGTCATCATCCGACAACTTGCTAATTGATATCTCTCTTTGAGTATTCGAAACACGAACGAGGATTTATGCGTTATGCTTGTGGTTCTCTTGGTGCCTGTAATTATGCAGCTTGTCAAAATAATATAAAGATGGAATTAACTTTAAAATTTCATTTATGCAAATGAAAATGTAAATTGTGTAGAAAAATATCAATCAATGACTGCTTAAAAGACAATTCACATCTATGTTGAGAAAATCAGCTATAAGCATTTTTCTCCAAATGGTCACTTTGGTCAAATTTTACTCTCACAAAACTTCCAATTACTTTAGCATCACTGGCTTTAGTAGCTCCACTAAACTCTTCCTCAGGTAAGCAAGTTTGACGTTTTCCGAGACTATAGACGTGAAACAACTTTTTTGCACAATAACAACTAATCCAGAGGAAAATCATGCCATGAAAGAGGGATTTTAGTTTTGAGCCTCTTCTTGCTATTTGTTATATATAACCAGAAAAAAAAAAAAAAAAAAGCATCTATGATATTATTGGATTATCACATCATCCGTAACATGACATCATCGATATCAAATGTTTGGGTGGATTTTAATCTATCTACCCGTGGGAATGTGTCAACACATGAGGCTTAGGCCATCAACTTTGAATTGTTTCTTACCTAAGCTAGAATGAATGAAGTTATAGTTAACCAAAAAGCAACACAAGCCAACCCGTTTATATGAGTGATCAAATGCATAATCTTTTTTGATAAATTTTACAGACCTAAAGAAATGAATTTTGGAATCAATTTGTAATGATTTTAAAAAGATTTTTATCTATTTTTTTTTTTCAAAATTTTGTAATAGTGCCATATTCAATTTGTCACAAGAATTGGAAAACTAAAAAGTTTCAACAGTAGAATAATATGATTTACATGACATCTCAAATATAGTTTTCTTACACCCATTGCAGTGTACACCAATATTTCTATTTTCTCTCTAATGAATCTCTTACTGTACACAAGATTTGATGACAGTAATAAATTACAGGAACCAATCAATTACAGAAATTTTTCTGGCAAGTGTAATCAAACAATGACCATTAAAGACCTTTATGCGCTTTATCATCTGGTACCTTTAGAAGGCAAGCAACTTTACAGAACCCAACATGATATCTATACAGAGATTCTTCATTCACTTCTGGTTTCATCTCATTATTAGAAAGTTTCAGCCTTCTTAGAGCCCATTGCATTGCCCATATGGCCATTGGACACATGTAACATAGTACTCTTAAACCATCACCGGTAGTCCAAGCTTCTAGAGTTTGGTCAGAGTAACTATGAAGAATATAGCAATATGTCAGTGAATCAGGAACAAATAATTCTGGCGCAGATAATTCTCAGTGTAATTATGCAGAATGAATAGTTTCCTATTGGAATCGGAAGAATATATCCTAAAGGGAGTAACCTGGAGAGTAAAAATATTATCTATTAGACATTATTACTACCAGAGTTTTGTCCAACAATTCTCACAACCACAAATCTACAAGTAAATGGTTAATCGGCACATCCACCAATTTATGTCTGCTATGAATTTTAATACCTAATAAAACCAATGATGCAATGAAATCTATAGACATTTCAAACTGATTTAGATCTAGAAAACAGACTTATAGCATAGTTAAAAGCCTATTAATGGCAAATGGCTAGCACTATGCCTTGTCCTTCAAGGTTTAAAAAGGTAACACTGTTATATAAGATAAAGGGGATCTTACCCAAGTCCATTTTTAGACCATGCTGCTTCATAGATTCCACTGACAGTTTGAAATCCCATATCAACCAAATCTTCATGGATCATCGTTACAATAACTGCATGTATCATGGCAAAACATATTTCTCTTGGCAGCAATGTTCTCATGTCAACTGCATTCTTCGTACGGTAACAATCATAGAGTCTTTCTGTAGCTGGCTGAGGCTTTTGCAGTTTCATATTTCAATGATGTCAAATAATGCTCTCCTGGCAAGGATACTACTCTGAAAAAGTGAACCACTCCATAAATTTTTATCATGAAAACTTCAATTTCGCTTTTAGACCGGAAATTGAGGAAGCTGGTTCAAACATTCACGATAATTTTCGGCCTTCATTAGTAATTGCATGACTAAGGACATTGTACATTCAGTCGGCTTCACATTTCTCTCCGCCATCTTATGAAGGAGTTCAACAACTTTTGGTATCTTATTATTCTTGAGAAAATCGAACATGAGCGTAGTAAACGTGATTACATCTGGAGCACAACCTTTTTCCTCCATATGTGACAACAACTCATTTGCCTTTTCTAGTTGTCTATTTTTACAAAGCATATTGACCAAAATGCTATAAGTGACTACGTTTGGAGTAGTTCCCGAACTCTTCATTTCGAAATACAAGTCTATCGCCCTCTTAACTAATCCAACCTTCCAAAGACCATCAATTATAGTACTATAAGTAACAACATTTGGCCTACAAATAACACCAAATTCTTCATTTCCCTAAGCCAATTCTTCAAGCAACTTAATGGCAGGACTTATCTTCCCTGTTTTACACAGTCCATTCATTAAAATTCTATAAGTATAAACGTCAGGAACCACACCTCTCTGAATCACAAGCTCCAACAACCTATTTGCTTCGTGCAATTTCCCTTTCTTGCAACGTTCATCTATGAGCACATTAAACGTCACCACAGAAGGTTGCACACCTTGATCTATCATTTCAATAAATAAACTTCTACCCTTCTCCCAATAGCCCACACAACAAAACCCATGAATTAGAGTGGTATAAGTGACTGTGCTTGGACTGATTACAGAATCCTTCATTTCCAAAAACAATTTTCTAGCCTTCTCAATTAATTCAGCCTTACAAAGACCATCAATTATAGTATTATAAGTAACAACATCTGGCCTACAAATAACACCAGATTTTTTACTCCCATCAACCATCTCTTCAAGCAACTTAATGGCAACACTTATCTTCCCCGTTTTACACAATCCATCAATCAAAGTGTTGTAACTGATCATATCAGCCCTACAACCAACAGCAACCATTTTCTTAAACAATTCCATTGACTCCACAATCTTTCTCTCTACACACAGACCTTTGATCAAACAATTAAAAGTCACAGCATTTGGGCTGAAACCCTTCTTCAATATCTCCCCCAAAACCGCAAAACCATCCGAAACCCTTTCAATTTTACACAAGCAACCGATCAAAATGTTCAAAGACAATAAATTTGGAGACAACCCAGTTGAATTCAACCACTTATAAAGAGAAATCACTTCATAATAATGCTTCTTCTTTGACAGTGCACTAAACAAAGTAGTGAATGATAAAATTGGAGAGATCGGTTGCCAATTAATCATGTAATGAAAAAAGTATAATGCTTCATTCAGAGTAAAGTTACCTGATTGACAATTTTCTTTGAGGAATTTAGCAAGTGAGGATCGTTCTAGGCGTTTTTCAAAAGAATACAAAACTTCATTGTTGGAGCTTGAAGTTGTGAGGTTGTGTAAGTGAGCTAACAAAGATGAAATATTACCTTTCAGAGATGGGTTTCGAGAGATTGAAGACGAACGAAATGGGGATCTCAAAGCCATGTATGAAGAGTGTTTTCCAGGTTCAGGGGTGGATGGTTGCGTTTCGGTTTCAGGGGGTTTTCTGCTATTTCCAAAATTATCCACGAAAAGAAAAGGAAAGGAGAAAAAAAAAAAAAAAGAAGAAGAAGGAAGCGTTGGCACCAAGTTTCGCTGAAGAAACTCACGATTCTTTGACCCACCACATGTTCTCCTTCGAGTTCGTGGTCCTATAATGTCAATGTTTTTTTCCCTCATTTTTTGATTCTTTTTAGTTTTCATACACATATTTCTTTGTTCTATTTTCTTATTCATCACTTACAAGGTTTATAGGGATAAAAATGGCTGTTTTGCTACTTTGACATCGAAAGGCTTCAGTTTCAGGGATTTCTTCCATACTCCGAGGTGGAAATTTAATCTCACTACAATAGTTATTATTGTTTTTGTTATGTTTTTATTATTCGTTGTGGAAAAGTGAGTTCGAATTAAGTAAATTTATTAGATAACTAACAGCTGAATTGTTTTAGAATGATTTTGTTGTTTTATTATTGTCTTGCCGTGTAAATATTGGTTTTTAGATTGTTTTCTCAGCTGGAAAGAGGTGGTTTCTTCCTTTGTTTAGTTACTGACTTTAGCGTGTGTGTTTTTTTTTTTTTTTTTTTTTTTGGTCAAGGGAGCTATTAGGGCCAAAAATCATCTTGGCCTTGACGAGACCCAATAACGAAATAAATATATCATGGCCCAAGGCCTCAGCCCAATTCTGATTGGGCTTATGCTTAAAATCACCTTGCGAACTACCCACTCTATGAGTTGGGATATCGTATAAGTTAGGCTAAACTGAGTTTCAGCCCATTAGCCTGCAATAGTCTATAAATAGGAAATCAGAATTCTATTCTATTTCCTCTTCTACTAAGATTTCAAATCTTATTTAAACTATTAGACTTAATCTGATAAGGTCAAGAAATCATATATCTTTCATGATAGGGATTATCTCCCAAAATAGGACTTAATGTTCTACTAAGATTCCAAATCTTATTTAAACTATTAAACTTAATATGATAAGGTCAAGAAATCATATTTCTTTCTTGATAGGGATTATCTCCAAAAAAAGAGGACTCAATGTCCTCCTAGGATTCCAGCCCCTTGGGTTCACTATAAAAATAGAGGCTTGCCCTCACATTAGGCATGAAATCTCCCATAGTCAATCTACAATACTCAAAACCATCTATTTGCTCCTAAAGTTCTTGCTCCCAAGAACCCGACACCTCTACCGTAGTCCTAGCCTCTGACAAGACTCTTGGTAATTCTTCATATCCTTAATTCTTATCAAATAATTTCTTTCAGCCTCGCTGACTTGAGTGTTAGAGTGCCTACGGCAAACACCACCATGGTGTTTTCCGGAAGCTTCACGCTTGCCCTTTCATGTGTGCAGGTCTAGCGGATTGTTAGTGGCCCCAACCTCACGAGATCAGACCCTATTTTAATAACGATAGATTTTTTGCATCTACAGTTTGGTGCCCACCATGGGGCCCTGAAAATCATCTACCAACAACAACTTGAAACATGAGAGGAGACACAGAACTCCCTTTGACTGGCATCGTTAACCCGAAAATCTCATCACAATAAGAAATTTTTTCGTTACTTTTCTTCATTTTAAATCCATTAAAAGTATCTAGGAATAATTCACATGTCATATTATGTCTATTAAGCATGAAATATGATAACTTGAAGCATCAAAACACATCTCCCGTGTTCATAATTTGTTTATGCGTTAGTTGGAATATTGCTCACTTTTCGTATGTGTTTAATTTCTTTTTGGAAGGTATTTCGTGTCCTAAAAACTCTCACATCTCTTGGGCATGTTATCGAGTGTTAAAAAAAAAAAAAAAAAAAATTCAATAGAAAGACAAAAATGTGATCCCATTTAGGTCCATGAAGTAAGATATACTTAATTACTTCTACGCATTTTACAATATCGAACATGGAAAAAAGCAATTGTCGTACTATTTACTGTTTACTTTGATATGCAAAATATATGGCCAACATTTTAGGATTGATAATGAAGTTCCTTGGTCTTAGTTACATATATATTGATACTTAAGACCATATACTTTTGGTTCAGACTTGATCCTTTCTCCTCATAGATCAAGTGTTTACCACGGTTATGTGCAGCTCTCTCTCTCTCTCTCTCTCTTTGTGAGTGCATATGTGCCTATCTTGACACCTGTGTGTGTAATCAACCACATTATTCGAACATTTTTGTCTTTGTATTAATTTGTGCTAATGATGAATGAGACTTTATTTACTGTAATTCCACCTTGATCAAGTATTTGGGAGACTTGGTACCAGACCTACTACTATTGCACAAACCAGACGTCCCAATTGATTATGTTAATTTCAGGATGGCAGTGGCGGTGTAATAATTTGGTTCTTCTCCTACCAATTACATTATCGATGTCACTGGGAAACAGCCATTCCATTTATCTTATTGTCAATACTCCACATTCGTGTTAAAATCAATAGGTCCTGCCATCTTCGCAAGGCCAACAAAATTGCCCACTTGTATTGACCAAGAATAAAGAAACACAGGGCAGCCACCAGACTTTTGCTGAACCTCTTGGCTCCAAACACCCACTTTCTTCTCCAAAATCCACCAAACAACCAAGCAAAGAAATTAGAAAGATTACCTTGGAAAAAGTGGTTGGAAAACTTCGTCAGAAAAACACGAGAGGATGGATTTTTTTTTTGCAAAATACAAAATCAGAAAGAAGACATATTAAAAGAGGTAAGGAATTTCTTATTGCTCCATAAATGTTTGACATTTCAAAATGACATGTGTCAACTTCATGTTGCATCTTGAAAAAGAAAATTACATTTTTTCCGTCTATTGGATATTGAGTTTTTTATTGAGACATGACCACCATGTGGGGGACCACGTGTAATGGGAAGTAAAACCATTTTAAGTGTGGTCCATGTGAACCCATTCTCGAGTAGAGGAGCAAAGCCGAGTCAGTTGCACTAATACATTGACCATTGCCATTTGCATCTGCATTAATTAAAATGCACAATATTTAATCAGCTCGACTCTTTTGCCTTATTCTGTTACAGTCGGTCATTCGGCACAGCTCAATCAAACCACTCTGGCACATTTAGCGTGTACACCATTTTTCCCTGGCACATTTATCTTTATTTTGCTCAATTTTTGTCAATCACATAGTAGAAACATTCAACCCCAGTTGTCTTTTTCTTTCTCTATTTGGCTTATTATTTCATTTGATTTATTACACATGAACACCACACATATTAACTCTCCATTCGGCTCTTTGCTTAAAACGTGCATGCCATGCATGTCATTGCTCCAACTTTAATCAAATGTTTTCAACTACAAAGTCGATCACCCCGACTGGGCCACATAGCCCTCAAAGGTTTAAACTACAAATCGATCATGCCAACTCGACTACAAGCTCCATACAAGCTCCACTTAGCATACACCTTCGGATCGACCCTGCTCGATCCACAGATTTACACCTTCGGATCGATCTTGCTCGATCCACGGATTTACACCTTCGAATTGACCCTACTCAATCCACAGATTTTTACACCTTCGAATCGACCCTGCTCAATCCACGGATTTACATCTTCAGATCGACCTTGCTCGATCCACAGATTTACACATTCGGATCGACCTTTGCTCGATTCACGGATTTTTTACACCTTCGGATCGACCTGCTCGATCCACGGATTTATACCTTCAGATCGACCCTACTTGATTCACGAATTTTTTACACCTTCGGATCGACCCTGCTTGATTCACGGATTTTTTACATTTTCGAATCGACCCTGCTCCATTCACAGATTTTTTACACCTTCGGATTGACCCTACTTGATTCACGGATTTTTTAAACCCTCGGATCAACCCTGCTCGATCCACGAATTATTTATACATTCGGATTGACCCTGCTCGATCCACAGATTTACACCTTCGGATCGACCCTGCTCGATTCACTGATTTTTTACACCTTCGGATCGACTCTGCTCGATTCACCGATTTTTTTAAACCTTCAGATCGACTCTGCTCGATTCACGAATTTTTTACACCTTCGGATCGACCTTGCTCGATTCGCGAATTTTTTACACCTTCGGATCGACCCTACTTGATTCAAGGATTTTTTACACCTTCGGATCTACCCTGCTCGATTCACAAATTTTTTATACCTTCGGATCGATCCTGTTCGATTCACCGATTTTTTTAAACCTTCAGATCGACTCTGCTCGATTCACGGATTTTTTACACCTTCGGATCGACCCTGCTCGATCCACGGATTTACACCTTCAGATCGACCCTGCTCGATTCACGGATTTTTTACACCTTCGGATCGACCCTACTCGATTCACAAATTTTTTATACCTTCGGATCGACCCTGCCTGATTCACGGATTATTTATACTTTCGGATCGACCCTGCTCGATCCACAGATTATTTACACCTTCAGATCGACCCTGCTCAATCCATGGATTTACACCTTCGGATCGACCCTGCTCGATTCACGGATTTTTTACACCTTTGGATCGACCCTGCTCGATTCACCGATTTTTTACACCTTTGGATCGACCCTGCTTGATTCACCGATTTTTTACACCTTCGGATCGACCCTGCTCGATTCACAGATTATTTACACCTTCAGATCGACCCTGCTCAATCCACGGATTTACACCTTCGGATCGACCCTGCTCGATTCATGGATTTTTTACACATTCGGATCGACCCTGCTCGATCCACGGATTTACACCTTCAGATCGGCCCTGCCTGATCCATGGATTTACACCTTCGAATCGGCCTTGCCCGATTCATAGATTTACACCTTTGGATCTGCCTTGCCCGATTCACGAGTTTACACCTTCGAATCGACCCTGCCCGGTTCACGAGTTTACACCTTCGAATCGGCCTTGCCTGGTCATGAGTTTTTTACACCTTCGAATCGACCCTACCCGGTTCATGAGATTACACCTTTGAATTGGCCTTGCCTGGTTCACGAGTTTACACCTTTGAATCGGCCCTACCCGGTTCACGAGTTTACACCTTCGAATTGACTCTAGTCGATTCACGGATTTTTTACACCTTCAGATCGACTCTGCTCGATTCGCGGATTTTTTACACCTTTGGATTGACCCTGCTCGATTCACAGATTTTTTACACCTTCGGATCTACCCTACTCGATTCACAAATTTTTTACACCTTCGGATCGATCTGCTCGATTCACGGATTTTTTACACCTTCGGATCGACTCTGCTCGATTCACGAATTTTTTACACCTTCGAATCGACCCTGCTCAATCCACGGATTTACACCTTTGGATCGACCCTGCTCGATTCACGAATTTTTTACATCTTCGGATCGACCGTGCTTGATTCACGGATTTTTTACACCTTCGGATCGACCCTGCTCAATTCACGGATGTTTTACACCTTCGGATTGACCCTGCTCAATCCATGGATTTACACATTCGGATCGACCTTGCTTGATTCACGGATTCTTTTACACCTTTGGATCGACCTTGCTTGATTCACGGATTTTTTACACCTTCGGATCGACCCTACTTGATTCGCGAATTTTTTTCACCTTCGGATCGACCCTGCTCGATTCACGGATTATTTACACCTTCAGATCGACCCTGCTCAAACCACGGATTTACACCTTCGGATCGACCCTGCTCGATTCACGAATTTTTTACATCTTCAGATCGACCCTGCTCGATCCACAGATTTACACCTTCGCATCGGCCTTGCCTGATCCACAGGTTTACACCTTCGAATTGGCCTGCCCGATTCACAGATTTACACCTTTGGATCGGCCCTGCCTGGTTCACGAGTTTGCACCTTTGAATCGACCCTGCTCGGTCACGAGTTTTTTACACCTTCGAATCGACCCTGCCCGGTTCACGAGATTACACGTTCGAATCGGCCCTGCCTGGTTCACGAGTTTACACCTTTGAATCGGTCCTACCCGGTTCACGAGTTTACACCTTCGAATCGGCCCTGCCCGATTCACAAGTTTTTTACACCTTCGAATCGGCCCTATCCGGTTCATGAGTTTAAACCTTCGAATCGGCCCTACCCGATTTAGGAGTTTACACCTCAAATCGGCCCTACCCGGTTCATAGTTTACACCTTCGATCGGCCCAGCTTGATTTATGAATTTACACCTTCAATCGGCTTAGACCGATTCATGAATTTATACCTTCGATCGGCTCAGACCGATTCATGAGTTTACACCTTCGATCGGCCCAGCCTGATTCATGAGTTTACACTGTCGATCGGCCCAGCCCAATTCATGAGTTTACACCTTCGATCGGCCTAGCTCGATTCATGAATTTACACCTTCGATCGGCTCAGACCGATTCATGAGTTTGCACCTTTGATCGGCCCAGACCGATTCAGGAATTTACACCTTCGGTCGGCTCAAACTGATTCATGAGTTTACACCTTCGATCGATTCAGACTGATTCATGAGTTTACACCTTTGATCAACCCAGACCCATTCACAAGTTTACACCTTCTATCGGCCCAGCCTGATTCACAAGCATACACCTTCGATCGGCCCAGGCCAATTTATAGATTTACACATTCAATTGGCCTAGACCGATTAAAGGACTTGCACCTCAAATCGACAAGTCATCGACCCAATCCACACAACGATCCATCCGACCTAACGAGTTGCTCCGCTCAGTCTGCACTTATTCGATTAAATATACTCTCTAAGCTAAATACTCTTTAACTTAGAGAGTGGGGGGCTAACTGTTAGGGTAAAAAATTGTCTTGGGCTTGACGAGGCCCAATAACGAAATAAACATGTCACGGCCCAAGGCCTCAGCCCAATCCTGATTGGGCCTACGCTTAAAATCACCTTGCGAACTATCCACTCTATGAGTTGGGCTATCCTACAAGTTAAGCTAAACTGGGTTTCAGCCCATTTGCCTGCAATAGTCTACAAATAGGAAATCAGAATTCTATTCTATTTCCTCTTCTACTAAGATTCCAAATTTTACTTAAACTATCAGACTTAATATGATAAGGTCAAGAAATCATATCTCTTTCATGATAAGGGTTATCTCCCAAAATAGGACTTAGTGTCCTACTAAGATAACTGCAAACTTATTATTTACTAAATTATGAAATCTTTCCACTGCTTCCAAAACACAACCATTCTTGCAAAGTCCATCAATGAAAATGGCATATGTCAATGAATTAGGTATAACAGCATTAAATTGCATCTCATCAACTAATTTTCGTGCATGTTTTACCTCAACTTTAAGAAAAAGGCCAGTTAACAAAGTGTTATACGCAATCACATCAGGCTTAATTCCTTCTGAAATCATCTCTCGACTAAGGATAAGAGTTTTGTTGACATTTTTGTTCTTGCAATACCATACATGAGATGTATACCCCTTTCTAGTTATAAAAGCAAACAACTCCCTTGCATCACCAATTCTTCCTGCCAAGCAATAACCATTTACTAAAATGTTGTAAGCATAAATGCAAGGATCCATACCTCTTTGAATCATTAGTTCCAACAACCTATTTGCTTCGTCTAATTTCCCTCTCTGGCAAAGTTCATTTATGACCACATTAAATGTCATCACGAAAGGCTGCACACCTTGATTCATCATCACAATAAATAAACTTTTACCCTTCTCCCAATCACTCACACAACACAAACCATGAATTAGAGTGGTATAAGTGACTGCGTTTGGACTAATTCTGGAACCCTTCATTTCCAAAAGTAATTGTCTAGCCTTCTCAATTAATCCATCTTTACAAAGACCATCAATTATAGTATTATAAGTAACAAAATTCAGTCTACAACCAACAGCAACCATTTTCATAAAAAACTCCCTTGAATCCATAATCTTTCTCTCCACACAGACCTTTGATCAAACCATTAAAAGTCATAGCATCGGGGCTGAAACCTTTCTTCAAAATCCCCCAAAAACCAGAAAATCATCCAAAACCCTTTTGATATTACAGAAGCAATTTATCAAAATGTTAAAAGACATTAAATCTGGCGACAGTCTAGTTGAATTCAACCTCTTATAAAGCGAAATCACTTCATAATAATGCTTTTTCTTTGCAAGTGCACCAAACAATATGTTGAATGATGACATTGGAGAAATAGGTTGGGAATGAATAATGTAATCAAAAAAGTAGAAAAACTTCATTTAGAGTGAAGTTACCTGATCGACAATTTTCTTTGAGGAATTTAGCAAGTGGGTTATGTTGAGGGGTTTTTTGGGAAGAATATAAATGTTCATTTTGGGTACTTGAAGTCGTGACATTCTGCAATGGGGCCTGAAAGCCATGAATTGAAGAGGGTTTATGTGGGTTTCGTTAAGCTTTTTGTAAAAGGTAAGGTGAGGAGTAAGGACAATGCAAAATGCAATCGATATATGAGTTGAAAGAGAAAAACGTTTTTGATTTCACAAACAACCCTTAATTTTTGTAATATTACCTAAACTTCATTATTTTGAAAATTGTTCATTTATCACCCCCTTAAATTAACTGCATAGAGGTTAAAAATGGAAATTTACATTAAATTTGATTAAAAGATATTATTCTGTTCATCGATTGTTGCTTCAACTTCGTTTTCTTTTTGATAAATTTTATCACACAATCAAATAATATAAATTAAAATTTTTGAAGATTTTGTTTTTGACTTTCTAGAATTTATGTAAATGGTGGTATATTAACATGTCAAATTTATCAAAACATTATAAAGCTGACTAATATTAAAATAATTTTCTGTATAATTTATTTCACTTGTAGTTTTCATATAGCTTAAAATTTGTGTAAAATATTTATGTCAAAATTTTAATTTAAAAAATCTTATCTAATGTTTAGAAAACTGGACCGAGCCTTGACTCTATCAAAGGCCTATTCACGGTTTGATCGATCGGTACGTCAGCAACAAAAATATTTTAAAAAAAATTATAAATTAGTATTTTAAATTGTAGTATATTATAAAAATATCTCTAGAAAAATTAATTAGTCCCTAAAAATTTAATGTAGTCCAAAAAATACCCAAAAAGTTGCAAATTAATCCCTAAAAGTTTGAAATACTAAAAATACCCTTAGAAAATTTCATTAACCCCTACAGATTTAAAATGTAACAAAAACCCCCTATAACTTGAACCGGACCGAAGAGGTTGCCAGTTCCCGATCCGACCAGCCAATCCAATTCGATTTTCAAAACATTGATCTTATCCCATTTACTATTATACTGTTACATATTAATACAAAATTTGTGGGACAGACATGTGCCAACATTTGTGATGTGCACGTCTAAGTGATTATAGAAGATTGGGCATGAACAAGTCCCATTGAAAAAGCATCATTGAAATAGCAAGCAAAGAAATATGAAATATAACACATTCAAATACGCCATAACAAAAAACACAATACAAGGCTTCAGAAATAATGCATGTTCAATGGTTCTGGTTCATTCAGCACAGCCTCGGAATTATATACTCTAAAATTAGTGAATCCTAATTTTGGATTTTATATGTAAAAATACATACATGTTTTGTTATATCCTCATGTAGAATGCTAGCCTTCTGGTCAAGCTCCACCTGCATTCACCGTATCCTAATTGAGGTTGTCTATGATATTTTTAAAATTTTTTTACTTAACTAAACGGCACTTCTATATATGAAGAAAGCCTGTAATATTGTCAACACTTACAACAGTTGACCTTTTTAGCAAGCCATCTTTCATTCTCTGAAACAAATCCTCACATTCTTCCTGCAAAAAATACTACTAGAGTAACTATTTGCTTTGCTAATAAATCGAAACCTTTTGGCAAAAAAAGTTGAAAAATCAACATTTTGTCACTCATATACAAAACTAGTTTTCTAGCTTGCCCTATAAGTACCAGTAGTTTCACTTCAATATCTCCATTTTTTGAAAGGAAAGCTATATACGTTCTAACAATATTGTTATCTTAGTGAAGTCATCATCCGACAACTTGTTGATTGATATCTCTCTTTGAGTATTCGAAACACGAACGAGGATTTATGCATTATGCTTGAGGTTCTCTTGGTGCCTATAATCATGCCGCTTGTCAAAACAATATAAAGATGGAATTAACTTTAATATTTCATTTACGCAAGTGAAAATGTAAATTGTGTAGAAAAATATCAATCAATGACTGCTTAAAAGACAATTCACATTTATGTTGAGAAAATCACCTATAAGCATTTTTCTCCAAATGGTCACTTTGGTCAAGTTTCACTCTCACAAAACTTCCAATTACTTTAGCATCAAATTTCTTTGCTGGCTTTAGTACCTCCACTAAACTCTTCCTCAAGTAAGCAAGCTTGATGTTTTTCGAGACTATAGACGCGAAACAACTGTTCTGCACAACGACAACTGATCCTGAGGAAAATCATGCCATGGAAGAGGGATTTTAGTTTTGAGCCTCTTCTCGCTCTGATATTTTTTTATACATAACCCCCAAAAAAAAAGCATCTATGATATTATGAGATTAGCACATCATCTGTAACATGTCAATATTAAAAAAAACATCGTCGATATCAAATGTTTGGGTGGATTTTAATCTACAACAATGCTACAGACACTGGGGTTTTACACCGAAATTTTGTACCGGCTTACGTGTCTCCTGAGTCAGACCATTCAACGCATTTAACGTTATTAATTTTTTTTTAATTTATTTTTTTTTAAATATAAAAATTTAAAAAAAATTCTGGCATGGACGGGTCCATTGTGTAAGGACGGCCGTCCATATGTAATGGACGCCGGACGGCCGTCCCTACTCTAATTAAAAAGCTTCAAGCTTCAAGTTCTAACTTATCATCTTCCATAACCTTCTGCAACTCACCCGACATTGTTTCAAAGCTCATAACCAATGGCTGCTTCTATGCCTTCCTCTACTTCTTCTTTCTCTACAGCTTTTCACGCTTTCGCACAACCCAAAACCCAGGAAAAGTTATGGATTGCAAAGAGAACCCATGCTGCAAAAAGGCAGATTTAGATGACCCAAGTGAAGATTTGATTGAGGGAGTCCATGAAGAAGCCATGGAAGGCCATGAAGAAGAGGAAGTGGCGTCAAAAAAGCACAACAGATTTGATGGAGGGAGTCAATGAAGAAGCCATGGAAGGCCATGAAGAAGAAGAAGTGGCGTCAAAAAAGCACATGGGTTGTGCGAAAGCATGAAAGACTTTTTTTTTTTTTTTTTTTAATATTTTGGTTATGGCATTGCATTTTTGGCTTCCCGGCAGAGAAAAGAAGCTCCACCTGTTTCGGTGCAATTTTTTCGGTGGATATACCATTTTTGTTTAATCTATCTACCTGTGGGAATGTGTCAACACATGAGGCTTAGGCCATCAAGTTTGAGTTGTTTCTTACCTAAGCTAGAATGAAAGAAGTTATAGTTAACCAAAAAGCAACACAAGCCAACCCATTTATATGAGTGATAAAATGCATAATCTTTTTTTATAAATTTTACAGATATAAAGAAATGAATTTTGGAATCAATTTGTAATGATGATAAAAAGATTTTTATCTATTTTTTTTTTCAAAATTTTGTAATAGTGCCATATTCAATATGTCACAAGAATTGGAAAACTAAAAAGTTTCAACAGTAAAATAATATGATTTACATAACATCTCAAGTACAGTTTTCTTACACCCACTGCAGTATACACCAATATTTCTATTCTCTCTAATGAATCTCTTACTGTACACAAAATTTGATGACAGTAATAAATTACAGGAACCAATCAATTACAGAAACTTTTTCTAGCAAGTGTAATCAAACAATGACCATTAAAGACCTTTATGCGCTTTATCATCTGGCACTTTTAGAAGGCAAGCAACTTTACAGAACCCAACATGATATCTATACAGAGATTCTTCATTCACTTCTGGTTTCATCTCATTTTTAGAAGGTTTCAGCCTTCTTAGAGCCCATTGCATTGCCCATATGGCCATCGGACACATGTAACATAGTACTCTTAAACCATCATCGGTAGTCCAAGCTTCTGCAGTTTGGTCAGAGTAACTACGAAGAATACAGCAATATGTCAATGAATCAAGAACAAATAATTCTGGCGCAGATAATTGTCAGTGTAATTATGCAAAATGGATAGTTTCCTATTGGAATCGGAAGAATATATCCTAAAGGGAGTAACCTGGAGAGTAAAAATACTATCTATTAGACATTATTACTACCAGAGTTTTGTCCAACAATTCTCACCACCACAAATCTACAAGTAAATGGTTAATCGGCAAATCCACCAATTTATGTCTACAATGAATTTTAATACCTGACAAAATCAATGATGCAATGAAATCTATAAACATTTCAAACTGATTTAGATCTAGAAAACAGACTTATAGCATAGTTAAAAGCCTATTAATGGCAAATGGCTAGCAATATGCCTTGTCCTTCAAGGTTTAAAAAGGTAAAACCGTTATATAAGATACCCAAATCCATTTTTAGACCATGCTGCTTCATAGATTCCACTGATAGTTTGAAATCCCATATCAACCAAATCTTCATGGATCCTCGTTACAATAACTGCATGTATCACGGCAAAACATATTTCCCTTGACAGCAATGTTCTCATGTCAACTGCATTCTTCGTACGGTAACAATCATAGTCTTTCTGCAGCTGGCTGAGGCTTTTGCAGTTTCATATTTCAATGATGTCAAATAATGCTCTCCTGACAAGGATACTGCTCTGAAAAAGTGAACCACTCCATAAATTTTTATCATGAAAACTTCAATTTTGCTTTTGGACCGGAAATTGAGAAAGCTGGTTCAAACATTCACGATAATTTTTGGCCTTCATTAGTAATTGCATGACTAAGGACATTGTACATTCAGTCGGCTTCACATTTCTCTCCGCCATCTTATGAAGGAGTTCAACAACTTTTTGTATCTTATTATTCTTGAGGAAACCGAACATTAGGGTATTAAACGTGATTACATTTGGAGCACAACCTTTTTCCACCATATGTGACAACAACTCATTTGCCTTTTCTAGTTGTCCATTTTTACAAAGCATATTGACCAAAATGCTATAAGTGACTACGTTTGGAGTAGTTCCCGAACTCTTCATTTCAAAATACAAGTCTATCGCGTTCTTAACTAATCCAACCTTCCAAAGACCATCAATTATAGTACTATAAGTAACAACATTTGGCCGACAAATAACACCAGATTTTTCATTTCCCTTAGCCAATTCTTCAAGCAACTTAATCGCGGGACTTATCTTCCCTTTTTTACACAATCCATTCATTAAAATGTTATAAGTATAAATGTCAGGAACCGCACCTCTCTGAATCATAAGCTCCAACAACCTATTTGCTTCGTGCAATTTCCCTTTTTTGCAACGTTCATCTATGAGCACATTAAACGTCACCACAGAAGGCTGCACACCTTGATCTATCATTTCCAAAAACAACTTTCTAGCCTTCTCAATTACTTCAGCCTTGCAAAGACCATCAATTATAGTATTATAAGTAACAACATTTGGCCTACAAATAACACAAGATTTTTTATTCCCATCAACCATCTCTTCAAGCAACTTAATGGCAACACTTATCTTCCCCGTTTTACACAATCCATCAATCAAAGTGTTGTAACTGATCACATCAGGCCTACAACCAACAGCAACCATTTTCTTAAACAATTCCATCGACTCCACAATCTTTCTCTCTACACACAGACCTTTGATCAAACAACTAAAATTCGCAGCATTTGGGCTGAAACCCGTCTTCAATATCTCCCCAAAAACCGCAAAACCATCACAAACCCTTTCAATTTTACACAAGCAATCGATCAAAACGTTCAAAGACAATAAATTTGGAGACAACCCAGTTGAATTCAACCACTTATAAAGAGAAATCACTTCATAATAATGCTTCTTCTTTGACAGTGCACTAAACAAAGTATTGAATGATGAAATTGGATAGATGGCTTGCGAATTAATCATGTAATGAAAAAAGTATAATGCTTCATCCAGAGTGAAGTTACCTGATCGACAATTTTCTTTGAGGAATTTAGCAAGTGAGGATCATTCTAGGGTTTTTTCGAAAGAATACAAAACTTCATTGTTGGAGCTTGAAGTTGTGAGGTTGTGTAAGTGAGCTAACAAAGATGAAATATTACCTTTCAGAGATGGGTTTCGAGAGATTGAAGATGAACGAAATGGGGATCTCAAAGCCATGTATGAAGAGTGTTTTCCAGGTTCAGGGATGGATGGTTGCGTTTCATTTTGTGCTAATTTCAAAATTAACCTCAAGATTTGTTCTAGATCAATTGTACTTGGAGGGCATTTTGGTGGTGTTAAAGATTAGTAATTAATTGTAATAATATTTGTTAGACTAGATATAACAAATATTATGTGGGTGTAAATGGTATCAGAGCTTTGGAGGACAGGGGGTTTATGTGTTTATACCTGGTAACCTGTTGAAAGTTCTATAACATGAATAATGATTTAAATGATGAAGTCTGTTTGAGTAAGACTTGTTTTCATTTAGATCATGGTCTCGAGGTAAAACTGGAAATCGGTTTGTTAAATACTGTCGTAGATAAGTTAGAGCTTTTGACCCAGAAGCTTGAAAACTTAGACAGGAGAGTGAATTATACAGTGTATCGTATATTTGCTCTAAACAAAGAATTAACCCAGATCGGGAACCAGATTGAAAAGGTTAATTCTGTACTTCAAAAGGTCAAAACACTGGAACATGTTCTAACTATTTTACTAAGCAGGTAAAATAGGAGATGTCTCTGGTGTTGAGTGACATCGAACAAGTGTGGCCTATTGAAGGATATACCAAACAAGAGGTTAAACGGGTTGTGTTAAACCTCTGTAATGGCAACCTAGATATTCGAGAAGAGTATCTGACTTGGCTAGGTTTAAAGCGACTTTTGGATGCTATTCAAAAGGCTTTTAGTCAAGGGTACACAAAGATTTTGTGTTTTATTTGCCGGATTTTCACCATTGAAGTCTCTGAGCTAGAGCTTCAGAATAAGTGGTTGGAAAAAGCTGAGGCGGTAGTTCCTTACTGGTATAGCGAATCCCAACCGGATCCAGATCCTACATCATATAAAGAGTCAGACTTTGCAACTGAGTTGAGACCTGATTCAGATTGACCATGGGTGGTCAGGATGTTTTGGATCAGTTCGCAGCTAGTTTGCAGGCAAAATATCCCGGATTGCCTCTAGGATATGCACAGTTTGTGGCCAAAGAAACCCAAGGTGATTGGGAAAAGGCGGAAAAACTCTTAATGAAAGGTGTCAAGGAAGAAGACTTTGTTTCTAAAATGGATGGAAAATGGAAAGTTGATATTCCGAAAATTTCTACCTCTGATGCTGAAAGAATCAGCATGTATTATGAGGAGGAAATGAAGAAACAAAGGAAACGAAGACTGAAACTTACTCCAGGTCCAGGTCCTAAAAAGGTGGAGCTCGATGAGCTAATCTCAAAACTCAGGGAATCTGAGTTTATTGAAGGAATTCGTAATCCTTTAAATTCTTTCGAAGGATTCCTTAAGGAAGTCTCCAAACCCAAATATAAACAAACTTATCCCATGAGGATAAGGTCGGAGTTTATGCCTAGGGGAGTACCTTGAATGGTGGAGATACCATCTAGCGGAAGTTTCTTAAACATCGATTGTGTTACGAATGTAGGATGCAATTGAAGCATGGGAAACTGTTAACTGGGTTCATATCCAAAACAAGAATTTTGGACTCAGTGATACTTACAGGTTTCTAAGATCCACACTGCAGGGAGCTGCAGGAAGCTTTTGGAGAAGTCTAGAAGCTGGTACGGGTCTGTTAGATACTGTAGGTGACTTGAAGAATAAAGAGGCTATCTTTACACTCTTCAAGGATATGTTGTGTTGAGAATTTACTGGAATAACTATTACTAGTAGGAATCTCGTAGAGGTAGTTGCCTTAGAAGCTTTAACAAAGCTTAGGCTTTGTGACATGTGTCTGTTTGAAAATTTCGTCTGTGAATATAGACGCTATTTTTATCAGTTGCCTGGTGGTACACAGGAAGTCATGAAGAATACTTTCTTTGCTAAGCTTCCCCCAGGATGGGATAAGACAGCAAACGAGGCGTTTAAGCTTCTACTTGAAAGGAATCAGGTTGTTTATTCTTTGGGTGGAAGAATAGAAGCTGTTAGACAACTCGTGAGGACAAGATGTTTGAACGCCAAGCTGAATAAGGAAGCTAAAAGGCTTGAGTTCAACGAATCTTGTTGTCAAAACTTTGATGGCGTGCCAGGACAATATGGATGTGAGTCGCGGGGTTCGACTAAACATCAAGGTTGGAAAAACCATATGAAACGAAAAGGGTCGTTTGGTAAAAAGAATTTTAAGCCGAAATGTTTTCGTAATATGGTAAAACAACCTGTTACTAATAACCGGAATCTTCCGGATCATGGAAGGTTTATTAGGCGAACAGGGAAAGGTAGACTTAACGCTAAGGAACGCGGAGCGCGTAAGTTTTGTGCTACCTGCCCATCTGGCAAAAACACAAAAGATTGTAATTGTTGCTGGATTGTGGTGACAAAAATCATTTTGCGGATAAATGCCCTCATAAGGGAAAGAAGAAGGCTGCGGTAAGATTTTTGGAAGTCAACGTGGAAAGCCAAACTTCTGAATTTGAGCCAGTTTGGGGATACGAAATTGATTCTGATGATGAGGTTTATGAATTAATTTCGGATTACTCTGATGATTCAGATTCTTCAGAGGATAACTCAAAAGATATAACTTTTGAGGAACAATCTTCAAATCTTCAACGCGTAGGTATATTCATGCAACGGACTAGAAGTCTAGATGAATATCCTAGGAATAGCGGTATTGGTGATGAGGATGATCTTATCCCAATTAGAAATGAAGATGAAAACCCTAACTCGGTAATTAGTTCATCATCTAATTACGAGGATCACTCGGGTAACCTTGATAATTGGGTAATTTCGAGGTTAACACCTAGAGAGGTTTTTGAGAAACGCTCTAAGTGGTTATTTAAAGTTGAAGGCTTGGAAGATATACACAAAAAACCTGTTCGTGTAGCTTTGTCTCAATCTCGAGAGGGAGAACTAGTACTCTCGAATGACGAGTGGCTACGGAAGGTTCGAAATCTTGCCAAACGGGCAAATGGCAAGTATAATTATGTACAACTTGGTACTGTACAGATTCGTGTGCAGGGACTATTCCATGGAGGAATGAATGTACCTGTTCAGGTCACCTTACTGGACAGACGATGGCTTACGTTTGGTAAAGCTCTTGTTGGCAGTTTTCACTCTAACTTAGCTTTGGGAGATGCCTACGGGACTGTTAAACCAGGATATATGGTTAGTCTCCAGGATCCAAACCTCAAACGGATTATGGTTCTTCGAATTCATAACCTCAAACGGATTATGGTTCTTCGAATTCATACTTCCGGACTAGAAGACTTGATGGCTTCTAGTGATGGAATAGCAATTCAGTATAGGTTAATTTATCGGTTGATAAATTCTGTAAATCCTATACGTATGAACTCCAGTGTAGATACTGAGGTTCATGGCCTGGGACAGGATTCTGTAATTCCGATTCGACCTACGGTAGTCAATGCTAAAGCTCTTACGTGGCCAAAACGATGGGTTTTTGAATATTCAACGTAGCCCAGCGTGGTGGAATTAAACCCTAATCGGGGAATTCAAATCCAGGAACTTGATAATGAGGTTGAGGTTACTCTTCCTACGCCTAGAAACTCGGAGTCTCTAGAGCGGAATAAAGAGGTTCAGCCCTTCATATCAAGGAAAAATATACTGGAAACAGATGACACTGCTAGTGATGCTGGAAGTAGTAATAGCAAGAAAATTGTTGGGTATAAATCTGTGCAAATCCCAGTATATGAAGAAGAAACTCCAAGCACGAAAATGATGATGAGTCATGAAATGCATTGTCATGCGATAGTTCAGGGGACTATTGATACATGCATACGTGCTAAACTGTGTTTTCCAGAATATGAGGAATATACTCTGGATATTCTTGTAGACACAGGAGCAACCAATGTATTGCAAGGAAGCAATGTTTTCCACAGAGCTTTGGAAATCATTGGAAAAACCTATCCTAAATACGGTTTCAGATGGAGGTCAAAGTATGTCACGGATGTGGTAGAAACATGGTTGTCTGTTAAACGAGAAAAATTCACTCTAAGGAAGTCCTAGTAGTGGATTACTTAGAGGTAGATTTTATTCTCGGAAATAGCTTTCTACGAGTCAAGCAGAAGTTAGGCCATTTACTCAGATACGACCACATTATCCTTGGAGGACATAAAATCCCTATTCTTGCTAAGCCTGAAGTTTCAAAAGTTAGAAACGGTTTTAGACCGTTGAAACTAAGGCAAGAAGTAATCACATTGTTTTCCAAGTTTTGGAAACAAGAACTGGTGGTGTGAAACTTCTGATGCAGAAGAAGTGGATGAGACTTGTAAGGTTCTCTTTCAAAGGTTTATCCTAGTTTATCATACAACCGGATCGCACGAGGTATATCGTAGGAGGATGATCCCTCTGGTGCATGCCTTGAGAGCACGGATAAATTCATACATAAGAAAAATCTTGAGGTTGAAAACGAGAGCCAAAAGAACTCTTTAAGGATTGAGGAACTTGTAAAATCCTTTAAAGAGGAACTTTCTCCATGCTTTGATGATCAACCATTAAAGTTATGGGAAAGGAACGGTATATATGCTTCACTTGTTGAAAAGGAAGGATGATAAAATAGTGACCAATCCTATCCTTATACCCTGATGCAGAGGAGGAATTTAGTAAGCAAATACCGGAACGGCTGGAAAAGCAATTGATACGCGCCAGTAAAAGTCCACACTCTTCGCCAGCATTCATGGTCATGAATAGAGCTAACAGTTAAGAGGTAAGTGTGGATGGTTATCGATTATAGGCAGTTAAATGAAAAACACCATTGACGATGCCTATAAGATACCAAACAATCACTTGTTTGAATAAAGCTAGATTTGGAAAATCTTCTCCAAATTTGATTTAAAGTCAGGTTCTGGCAAATCAGAATGGGGAGTCAAGCATTCCTTGACGGCTTTCACTTGTCTGAGGATTGTTTGAATGGATGGTTCTGCCTTTTGGCTTAAGCAGGCACCATCAATATTCCAAAGAAAAATGGATAAGCCTTTGGAGATTTATCTAACTTTTGTGTAGTCTATA